ATGACCAGGCAACTCAGAAGAGAAGACTGCATAAATATGGGAAGAGATGCTCAAAACCACTCATCACCAGAGAGTTGAAAATAACAACAGCAATAAACTATTACACATAGTAACAAAATTGGTTTAAAAAAAAGAAAAGAAAAGAAAATTCAGTAATATCAAACTTTGGTGAAGATGTGCACTAGGTGAAAGTAGAAACTCTGATTGCCATTCAAGAACAATCATGGAGAATTTAGTTAATCAGGTGTTCGCTCTCCCTATGTCCCAGCAACTATAGTTGAAAAATTATTGCGCAGACCCATAAAAGAACATGTAAAAGGGTATTCATCACAGTGTTGTTTGTGGAGATAGAAAGACATGTGTCCGGGGCGCCTGGGTGGCTCAGTGGGTTAAAGCCTCTGCCTTTAGCTCAGGTCATAACTCAGGGTTCTGGGATCGAGTCCCGCATTGGGCTCTCTGCTCAGCAGGGAGCCTGCTTCCTCCTCTCTCTCTGCCTGCCTCTCTGCCTACTTGTGATCTCTCTCTGTCAAATAAATAAAATTAAAAAAAAAAAAAAAAAAAAAAGAAAGCCATGTGTACATCACTGGGGAGCGGGGAGAGCTGTACAAATAAAATAAATCACATACATACTAGTGTGTGGCAGGAAGCATTAAGAAGAAACAAAGTAAACAAAGTATTGAAAAAAAAAAAAGTAATATAGAGAATGAAGTCTATGGCTTCAGTGGCCATTCATCCCAGTTTGTCAAGGCAGTTGCAATCCATATCTTGTCTCAGCGTAAATATTAATAGCACTATCTTTCATTTTCAACAGTTTACACAATATAGTGTATGGCCACCCTATCTGTCAATATTAAATCTCAAAAAACTCAAAACTGTACCACTTATATTTGCTACATATATATTTAAGGACATTTATTGGCAAGGGGGTTTATATTAGGATGATAAATGAGACAAAGGAAATGAAATAAAAATGTATAACTGTGCTATACAACTGAGTATAAAATACTGCTTTAAGGTAGAAAATAGTAGTATAAATAAATATCTAATCAATAATATATTTATTCTTATAAATATATTTATAATTATATAAATAATATAAAGTATTTATTATATTATATAAAAATAAATATAAATTATATAGATATAAATATAAATAAACTATAGTTTGAAAAAATATATACACTTACAGTACTTCTGGTACTAAAAATGAGGTAGTTTGGGCTGTTAGTGGAATACCTGTGGAGGAAAAAGGGCAAATACAAACATTAAAAATAATTTCTTCTCCAAATAAGAGGGATTCTATAGTAAGCCCAGAAGTAGACATAAGTAGGTAGGGAAATTTTGTATAGGACAGAGGTGGTGTTCAATAAATAGAGCTGGAAAATGGATCTGGATTCATAAGGAGAAAGAACTAATCACAGTCCTACCTAGATCATTGAAGAAAAGCAACTCCATTGGGATAAGAAATGTTAAAACATTAATACTCTTAGGAGAAAATTTAGGTAAATGTCTCTTAGACGTTGGGAAGAAAGAATTATTTAAATAAGACATCTACCTTGAATTCTCCATCCTCTCCCCCAAAGAAGCTAACAATAAAAAACCATTACATGAAATTTAAGAAATTTTGTCCTTTAAAAGAACACCTTATTAAGATATAAAATTCAAGGAGCCTGTGACTACCATAATAAACAATAATATCTTTGTCTTCATTAAATTCTCATTGAAAATTTAGGGAAGGGAAAGAAATTTAGCATTCTCTTCAGTTATGAAGCTAGACCAGGGGTTGGCAAGCCAAGGCCAAATTCCACCTTTTTTGTAAATAAATTTTCATTGACACACGGCCACATCCATTGGTTTACTACTGTTGGGGTGCGCATGGCAGAGGTGGGTAGTTAAAACACGGATTGTATCAGCTGAAAAGCCTGAAGTATTTACTACCTGGCCCTTACAGAAAGTTTGGTGACCTCTGGTGTACAGTATAAAGTTTTTGAAGTCCCCGAATTCACAGGCCATCCTTAATAGTATCCCTTATCCATATCGATCCATTGTTTGCCAGGCACGTGATGGGAGTTAAATGTATTTTCGCATTCAAGTCTCACAAGAATCCCATGAGACAGGTTTTATTTTCTTCACTTTATAGAGGAGAAAACAGAAGCTTACAAAGTTCTGTCAGAATGCTGTCTTTTTTCTTTTTCTCACCACTTCACTTACCCTAAGGCTACTCTTACTCTCTTCGATGCCCCCATCCATCTGTCCAATGAGGCGGCCTGGATCCCTTCCCTCTGAAATCTCTGTACGTTTAATGGATTGTCGGAATTTTTACATCTTAATGTTAGAGAGTACTAATTAGTCATAGCAAGACCTTCATCGAATGGAATGTTCACAATATTATTTTTCGGGTTAATTATCTGTATTTTAACCCGTTGAAAATCTAAAATATTTTGATACACTTCCCAGTCCAGCAGTTACTGAACACTGAACAAAAATCACACTTGCACTGAGGATTTCTCAGAACTTGTAAAGCTTTCACTCCCTAAATCAGATCTCGGACTCAACTCTCAGTACTTCTGCAGGAATTACATCCCCTTCCATCTGCACAGTGCTTACATTTTATAAAGCACTTTTCACCAATCACTCCTACACCCGCCTCACATAGACCATCAACTACCTAGTTATCCTTGAGAAGTGGCCTCGCCCCCATGCCTCCACTCCCCAGGGGCGACTTTGGGGCTCTCATTTGCTCCTCTCCGTCAAAACAAGGTTGCCGCGGCAGAAAAGGAGTTTGGGGGCTCAGATATCCCACGAAGTTACCCAGACCCTGGAAGAGCAAAACCCTAAACTGCTCTTCATTCTCCGCCCTCATCCAGCCGAAACTCTCGGGAGGGGCGGAGGGGCGGCGCCACTAGTGGGCGTCGGGAGCCGGGGCTCCGGGTGGTGGTCCCCGGGGGCGGGGCCCCAGGGGCGACCCCCGCCCAGTGCTCCGGGGCGCCACTGGCGTCTGTCTACCTCCACACGGCCCAGCCGCAGCAGCTCAGCCACGACAGCAGCACCGCCACTCCCTGGGCTGACATGGCGCCCGAATAGCCTCCGCCCAACCGCCCAGGTCGCGCCCGCCCTGGCCTCGCACGCTCTCGGGGGGCGCCGCCCGACCGTGGAGGAGGCGCTGGGGTCCGCGCGCCCCGAGGCGGGGCGGGGTCGGATTTCCCCGCCCGCGAAGACGACTGCATGTGCGCATGCGTGCCAGCGCGCGCGCCGCTACCTGGCTTGCCAGGAACGTCGCAGTTGGTCAGAGTCGAAAATGTAAACCAGTCTCGAGAAAAGGCAGAAACCGTGCTGTTTTGGAGTGAGACAGCAAAACCACTTCGGAAAATCCCTGTCTGAACGAAGGTGAAGCTTTTAAGTTACGGTATCTTAGCCCAAATTTTCGTTGTGACCGTATATCAATACTGCGATAACAACGTAATCTGGTTCGAGCTTTTCAAGATGAGGCGTTCCATAAATGGTTAATAAGTTCAACGGATGGGAACAGTAACGTGTACTTACTGAGCACCTCCTTTAAGTCCAACACCACCTTGCGCACTTGGGTACAAAGAAATAGGACAGCTTTCTGGTTTACGAAGGGGTTTGTAATCTTGTGGTGAAGCCAAAATAAACAAATACCAAAATTGTCACATAGTGTTATAATTTATCAGTTTATTTGTGGGTAGACCAAATAATCGGAGTCCTTGAGTGCTGCAACTCTATCTTTACTCCTCTTTATGTCCTCAGGGCCCAGAACCTGCATAGTTTGTAGTGGGTCCTCAATGTTCACCGACAACGAATCATTGAGTAAAACTGGTGTCACACTACAATACGCCCTAGGGGCCGTTAGAGAGCGTGATTGTGTGTTTGTTTTTTTTTTTAATTTTTAATTTATTTGACAGAGAGAGATCAGAAGTAGGCAGAGAGGCAGGCGGAGAGAGAGGAAGGGAAGCAGGCTCCTTGCCGAGCAGAGAGCCCGATGCGGGACTCGATCCCAGGACCCTGAGATCATGACCTGAGCCGAAGGCAGAGGCTCAACCCACTGAGCCACCCAGGTGCCCCTGATTGTGTGTTTATGATGTATATGTAGCAGACACTGAATTTAATGTGACTCTATTCCCACTTTTAAATCCTGTAAAATAAGGGTAAGATAGTACTACTTACATGGTTGTGGGATTTAAAAGAGCGAAGTGCATCACAGGATTTGGTACAAACTATACATCACTATTAACCTCCTCCTCTCTGAGCCTCTGTTACTAATGTGTAAAATAGAAGGGTTCGAACTTTACTTGAGCCCTAGATTTTCAGTTCTAGGGTCCTCTATTGCTCTACTTTGGAATGCACCCTTTTCGATCCCCTCCCCTCTCTGTTCTTACTTGTAGAACTTTCGTTCCCAATTCTGTATCTGTACGTTTCCATTCCATCCCATTTGTATTTTGGAATTCCACCCTTTGTGCTTCGCACACAGTACCCCTACCCTTAATAAAAACAAGTCGTCAAAAAATAATTTGAAAACGCCTTCAGAGAGGGTGACCTGGAGACGACAAACAGCACGGCACTAGAAAACGTCGCCTCGGCCCAGGGCGTTGCATGCCGGGAGTTGTAGTGCGACGCTCGAGCACGCACCTCCGCGCCTCTCGGGTTTGAAAAGCGGGAGAAGGGCAGGTAGGCGGGGCGTCGAGGCGAAGCCCGCTGGAGGCCCCGCCCCTGCCCCCTTCCGCTCGCGGGGCTCGCTCTGGGGTGGCGCGCCAGGCTGCGGAAGGGGCGTGGCCTCGGTCCCGGGTGGCGGCCGTTGCCGCCACCGGGGCCTCTTCCTGCGGGCGGTGCTGCGGCTGCCGGCCTGCGCGGGGCAGTCATGGTCGCCCCTTGAGTGGGCTGTGGCGGAGAGCGGGGCGGGGCCTGGCTGGAGGGTGGCGGCCCGGCAGGGGCGGGGGCGGGGACGGGGCCGGCCTCTGGCTCCTTCTTCCTCCGCATGTGGCTGGCGGCCGCAGAGCAGTTCAGTTCGCGCACTCGTCGTCGCCGGCGTCTCTTTGGGGCTCTCCTCGCGTCACTGGAGCCATGGCGTTCGCCGAGACCAACCCGGCGGCATCCTCCCTGCCCAACGGCGACTGTGGCCGCCCCGGGGCGCGGCCCGGGGGGAACCGGGTGACGGTGGTGCTGGGCGCGCAGTGGGGCGACGAAGGCAAAGGGAAGGTGGTGGATCTGCTGGCGCAGGACGCCGACATCGTGTGCCGCTGCCAGGTGAGGCGACCGGGCTGTGACGGGAAGCCGGGCCCGAGGGCGCGGGCGCGGAACCCGGATCCATCGTCCCAAAGAAGGTGTCACCTTGAGGTTCTCTCCCGCTCGGAGCTGCGGCGACGTGGAGAAATGGCGGGAGGTCAGAGACCCCTGACCTGAGGTCTTGGGCTGAGGGTTGCGGTGGCGCTGGAGGAAACCAGGGTGGACCCGGAGTCCCTGAGAGATGCGCGATGCCTGGGGAGTAGCAATTTTCCGTCTGGGGGCCAGTGCCCAGCCCCGAGCTTGGGGCCGGGGTGGGGTGGGATACGGTCTGAGTTAGAGGAGCTGCAGCCAGAGGCCTGCTGCCGACTCCGGGCGGAGACCCCTCGCGGCCGCGAGGCCCCCCCCCCCATCGCCCACCCACCCAGCGAGACCAAGTGGGACTGGATTGTTCCGACGCGCCCGAAAAGCCACTCGCCATTCCCCCACCTGCAGGCCCCCGGTGTTCAGACCTTTGCCGCCTCCGGTCCACTTTGTTGACATGAGAACCCATCCCCGCCTTTGGACGGTTAATGGCCCGGGTTTTTGACTCCGTATCCCGCGTGTTGATATTAAGGGTAGATGATTTTTACTCGTTGGTCCCAGAAGAGAGAATCCCAGCTCTTTTGCGAGTGAGGCAAGTAAATACGTGGATGTCAGATCTGGTGTTTAGAAATATTTACATTGTTACGCTCACATGGAAAGTGAACTTTCGGGAAATGGATTGGTAATGTACTTCCTACCGGGAGACACGTGGTTTTCAGTGTAAGCTTTCTTCCTATTTGTCGCTTGCTTTGAAGCAGCCTCTAGGCTACGCTTTTGTAAAGGCTCTTAGATAACTGTTACCAATTTCAAAATTCGAGCTAGTTGAGCAATAACCACTTTCAAAACAAATTGTAATATGTCTGAAACTCGCTGCTGTTTACCTCGCGACAGGGTTTCTTCTTCATGAACATGGCACAATGAGGATGCCATGCTGTATATGTTCTAACAAGTTAGTAGGCCCGCTGGATTGAAGGCTATTCACCTGAAACTGATTATCATTCTGAGCACGCAGGAACAAAGGTAATCACACGCACAGAGAAAGCTAAATACAGAGATTCTGATTTGTCTTGTTTTTTTGCATGCAGAAATTCCCTGCCCATTTCTTAGCTGAGATAGGTGTTGCCTCTTAGTATTACCACTAGCACCCCACCACCTCTCCCCACCTTTGGATCTCTATCCCTCCATCTCTCTGGGGATGTACTTACCTGATTTAGTATCTTACTTCTAAGTTTGTTTCCATTGAAGTCCTGCCCAACATTGCCTAAGAAGTTGCTCTGCAAGTCAATTTTCACCCTGCTTTTGTCTTAAAATCAGATCTGGCCATGCTGTAGGGAAAGAAGTATGAGAATACCTAACTCTTGTTGGGTAAAAAGGGAGAGAGACTGGGCCTGTTTGTCCCCTTCCATGTCGTTCCGGAGCTCTTCCTTTTCTGGAAATAGTAATACTTAGTCTGAGTTACATTATGAATTGTAAGAAGGTTTGGGAAATGTAACGATAAGTAGCATTTATTCTAAAAGATCCCCAATTGTAATGTTTCTTTGAAAAATAGTGGAATTAATTTGTAGATTGGAAGAGGTGTTACAATGTTATCATGAATGTCCTCTTGAAGAAGGTCATGGACCAATCCCATCTGATGCCCTTGGAAAGCCTAGAGAGAAGTCATTGAGAAGGAGCCAAGTTTGGCTTTAAACTGTTAACTGAAGATACGGAGGAACGTTTGAGCAAACCTGTTAGGCAGACTTTTCTCTCCTGTAAACTTCAACTTCCTGCAAACTTTATATAATTCTAAAATCTTCATATGCTGGTGCCTTTTAAGAACTCATCATTAGAAGGATTCTTACTAGTTTTGTTAGTGAAAGTAGACACAGAATGAATAGATTGAAGCGTATCTCTTATGATTCACTTTGGTTAACTTTATATTAATTGGCCAACTCTAGCAAGCGGACTTCTTAATGAAGTTCTCCTGGCTTATAAAACTGAAGACTACCGAATGTTGAAATTCTTAGTGTGTGTAGAACTCTGGGGTAAGTCAACATTAGAGAAGATATTTTAAGCTTGAATTGCCTTGTTTGACCATTTTAAATTTTGTGTATTACTGAAAACAGTTACTTTGTTGGAGTTTAATAAGTGTTATGCCCCAAACTCAAATTTTATACACATTGTTTCTTGAGCAGTGGTATACATATAATGTATCCATAGTTTAACAATAGAATCATAAGAAATTTTTTCCAAAATAAAGTTTTTAAAAGAAAAACTGACATTGTACTTAAATGGATATTTTAATATATCAAATGCCTTTTGGAAAGAGTAGATGCAAAGATAGTGGCATTTTCATCATCAGTGCACTTAAGGCCTATATTTCAGATTCAGGATTTTTATGCAGTTATTTATAATTTGGTAAATTCTCTAGATCCATAAATATGTGTATAGAACTTGCATCAAAGGACAATCACTAGAAACATCTTAATTTTAAACTGATGTCTTTCAAGACAAAGAATTGTAGGACTCCAGGCCTAGTTCATTTATCCAGCAATCACGTAATGAGGATCTACAGGTGATAGTCTTACGGAACTGCTTGGCCCCAGAATTAAGAAGTTTAAAATGCAGGGATTGTGCCCACAAGTAGCTTACAGTCTACTGGACGACTGCTACATAAGCAAGTATTGCCAAGGTCAGGTGGAGAAGGATACTGGTACAGGTTTTTCAAAGAGTTAAGGTATGGGCAGAGGAAAGCCCCTTTCTGGCAGCTTAAAAGTAGGTTTCTTAGAAAGTCTCTTGCTGTCTCCCCCTCCCCGCCAGATCCTCCAAAGTAAACTGTTATAGTTTATTTTCTTTATTTTGTTGAGTAGAAACTACAGAGATTTTAACTGTTGCACTTTCTACTGCTTCTTAAGCGAGGGCTTACTTAGTGTTCACCTGGAAAGCAAACAAGGTAGTCTTGGAAGTTGCCTGTGATTGGGAATAGCCAGAACATTTCATTTCTTGGTGTTTCCCCCCCGCAAGGTTTTAAAGTTAATATAAAGAGAAAATATTAACTGAAATTAATTATAAAGGGAAAGTCTATTCTGTCACTTGTTATATATATAGAAAGCTTGCTGTGTAGTAAATACAATGAAAAAAATGTTAACTTGTGGCTAGATGCTGGCATTCACAGAAGGCTCTGAAACCAGCTAAGTCCAAAAAGAAAGAAAGAAAGAAAGAAAAGTGTAAAAGACCTAACAACAGCAAACTGAGACTTTCTCCTTGGAATAATCAGAAAAATTGAGAGATAATTTTAAAAGGGATAACTAAAGTGTTATGTAATGCCTTGACTTTATACAGCTAAAATTACCTCCCAGATCACTTCCTGTAATTTGGAAGATGGTAGAGAATTAGGGTTTAAGGTAAGTCATTCTTCCAGGTTTAAAATAATTGCTGTTTTCTGTGCCCCTGACTATGAGTTGTTTTTGTTATGTTTTTTTTGTTTTGGTTCATAGTATTTTCCAACTACATAATTGTATACCAATGTGTGGTATACTTGCTTTCTTGGATTACTGTGTTTTCCCTGCTAGAAGTTTTCTCAAAAAGAGGACTTAATTCTTTGTTGTTGTCTTTTTCCATAGCATCAAGTGCTCTATGAGGCAGAGAGGAAGTAAATACTCAACAAATACATATTAGGTGACTGGATCACCTCTAGAAATTTTTTTGAAACCAGTAGCTTAACCCTTTCCTGTAGATTATTTTAACATCTCCTTGGACAAGTTAACTGAGTGATGGCATGATTTTAAGGTGGAATCCCCAGAATTTATTGAATTAATACTTGTTACTTAGTATTTTAAGTAATACTTACTATATTGTGCCATTATGTTCAAAGGCTTTAATAGATTATACTAAAGTCTTATCTCTTGTATCTGCTTGAAAATAGATAACTGATATTTGTATCTGTGTGTATTTCCTCAGCATAGTCGAATGCCATGTAATTCTAGTAAATAGTTTTTGTCTGCTGAGGGCAGTAGATCTGAAAGTTTAATGAGGATGTCCCAAGTTGTTCACTATTTAAGCCTATTCTATTGATATACATGATCTATAAATCCTCTCATTTGTATGTAATAGTACAGTAGTATATAACAGTATATATGATATATAATTCTTTAAAAATATTTTTTCTTTACTTTTGAGGCATAAATTTTTAAATAATGATGTCATCTTAGTGGTATCTGATCAATTTTTTTTCCTTTAATTTTGGTGGGACTGGGTCAGTTAGTTGGACAATTTTAAGTGTAAGTTATCTTTAGAACAGACTGTTGCCCAGAACAAATCTAGGGAGAAATGGTAGATTGAAAAATAGGTAATAGTTTACTATAACTGGATACAAATTTAACTCTATTATCTTTTTGGGGACTGTTGTATTTTGACACTAAAGATCCCTGTCGATGAGCTACATACCAAAAAGTGAAGCTTGGTAACTATTAGAATACTTTTACCAGTGGAAAAAGGGACTTTGAGGTATTTAGTTTGCCTGGCAAACAGCAACTGAGAAGAGTAAATAGTAGACCGTTCCCAGGGCTACTTTGGCTCCAATATGGGTTGGTTCTTTGCACTGAACTTTTAATTGTATTTAATTCAGTATAATAGAATTCTTTTAAAAATGGGATTTTGTCTTTTAAAAATGGGTTTTTTTGGTATTAAGCTTTTTGAAACCTTTTTAAAGGAAACGTTTTATTTATGAGAATTTTTCTACTTGAAATCTGCTGTTTAATTTCAGTGTGTTTTTAAGAAAATGTTTTTATAAATACAATGATTAGGTGAGTTCTTAATCATGCATTTACAAAGAGCTGCATCACACATCATTGGTTTATGCATTTTTTGGTTGCGTGTATGATCTTCCCTTCCAGGACCCTGGTTTAGTAAGTGTGTATATTAGATTTAGTTACCTAGAGTCTAAAAGCTTCTTGATTTGG